GCCGGTAGGACCAAGGACCAAGGACGAACGAAGCACTAGGGAATCTCGATGCAGATACACCTGTTCCTCCTTGTGATGTCTGCGGATACCGAACGTCTCCTCGAAGTAGGGACGCCGGTAGGACCAAGGACCAAGGGCGAACAAAGATCACCTCCTTAAAAAAAAAAAAAAAAAAAAAAAAAAAAAAAAAAAAAAAATGGGGAGAAGAGGAGAGAAGCTCCTACACGGAAGGGAATCTTGCCCGGGTGTGCCAGATCTTCCCCCACCGCCGAAGGCGAACGCCTCTCGATGAAGAGGTTAGTAGAGACGTGGAGGGGGCTAGACGAACCAAGGGAGCCTGCCAAGATAAACCTGTTTATCCCACAAATGACCATGGATCGATGGACGTGGGATAACGAAGACGGGAACCCGTGAGGGTAAACCTGTTCGTCCCTGCGAGTCCCTTGGGTACCGAACGTCTTCTTCGAAGCAAGAGACGCCGGTAAGACTAAAAGGGCCACGGACGAACGAAGAAGGGGGGAATCTCGATGTAGATAAACCTGTTCTTCCTTGCGACGTCTGCGGATACCGAACGTCTCCTCGATGTAGGGACGCCGGTAGGACCAAGGACCAAGGACGAACGAAGACCAAAAGACTCCAAAAAAAAAAAAAAAAAAAAAAAAAAATGCCAGACGAGCATGGAGCAAAGAATGATTTTTATTCCTCGGCACTATTGGCCGGAAAATTACAATGTATGAGAGTACAATACAAAAATGAAAAATTATACAAGTACAAGATGATGAGCAGAGAATCACGGCAGATCGGCGTCCGGAGCTGGAGCTTGGGAAGGGGCCTGCTTGGATTTGTCACTAGCTGCGGCTTCCTCCTGCTCCTTCAGCAGCTCAAGGGCCCCTGCATGAGCGTCTGCCATCAAGACGTCGAAACCAGCCGCCTCCGGATCAAAGGGAGCCCCAAAGTGACGCTCAAACGTCGGGAGATTCTCCGCCACTAGCCCAACCATACCTTTGCGGTAGGTGTCATCGGCGAGATCGTCAAGGAAACGACGTCCGGTGGGGGTGGCCTGGAGCAATTTTACCCCATCCTGATAGGCATCCGGGCAGGTGGCCAGGAACTCGCCAACGAGCCGCGGGAGGAACTTCATAGCCATGGTGTGGATGGCGCCAGTATAAGCCTTGGATTTCTGAAAGGCAATGGAACCAGACTCCTTGATTTTGGCAACATCGGCCTCATAAATAGGGACGTGATTATCCACGCCCGTCTGGCGGAGTTCCACCTTGGCCTGCTCTACGGCCCACATCCGGCTGCGAAGATCCACGAGCTCGGCCTCCTGCTTCTTGAGGAGCTCCTTCTGAGAGGCATTCTCCTGGACGAGTTTATCGAAGGCATCGGCTTTCTCTTGAAGAGTGCCAGCCCTGCCTTTTGCACTCCTCAGAAGGGCGTCGCTTTCGGCCCGCACCCTGGCCATTTCCCTGCCCTGATGCTCGAAGGCCATCCGGGCCCTGTGGAAGTAGAGCCCGGCCTTATCCAAGGTGCTCTGGCCACACTCCAGAAGGTCTTCGGGTGCCTCCTGAGCAGCAAAATCCTGGGGGACCTTGAGATTCAGGCCGCACCAGATAGAGGATGCCGTCTGACCAAAGAGCATCATTGACTCCTTGCGTGGACCAACCCCGGAGAACTCAATCAAACCAAGGGGGGACCCATTGGCTTTTGAGGGCGAAGGAGGACGAGCATCGTCAGAACCCTTAGCGATCTGGGCATCATCATCCCGGAGACGACGAACGTCAGAAGTTCGTGGGGGAGAAGGACGGGACTTGCCCCGAGAAGCAGGCTTCCGCTTAAGGGGGCTCCCAGGCTCACCATCAGAGTCGTCGGCTACTATGATGGCCTTGGAGGCTGTACCCTCGACGCGCGACCTCTTGGAGGCGCCGGCTCCCAAATCATCCTCAGTCCGGCCCCTGGTCACCCTAGTTTCAACCTTGGGGACGAGCGGCTTCCCGGGCTTGTCATGCCCTCTGTGCCCACGGTCGGCGGCAATCGGAGCGGCATTGTCTCGGCGCATGGTGGACGTGGATGGACAAACTCCTGCATAAGGGGAATCAAGGCGTTCAGAACCATAACAGCGAAGAGAGGTTAAAACAATGCAAGTACAAACGGACGCACCTAACCCAGCCTGAGCTTTAAAGGGCTCGGCCACCAGCAACCGGAGGTTCTGGATGCCAAGTCCGGCTATGCGCTTGGCATATCCAAGCTCCTCGTCCGTCATGGGCGGCGGGATCGTCTTCACAGGGTAGGCGTTCCACCGATCAGAGAATGGCATCGGTGAGCCTACTCCGGCCAGGAAGAAGCGTTCTTCCCAACCGTCTGGATTCCCAGCGTTGTTCGAGAACAGGACCATGGACGGACGGGCAATTAGGGTCAAATACCCTGTACGTCCGAAGGTGGACAGACGGAAGAAATGGTGCAGCAGGTCCACGGTGGGGGTCACACCGACGCTGTGGCATCTAATGATAAAGCCAGCGATTATCCGGTAAGCGGCAGGGACGAGCTGCGCAGGCACAATCTCGAGGGCCCTGAAGAGTTCCAAGTGGAAGCTATGCAAGGGAAAATTCAGCCCGGCTATCACCGAATCTAGGTGGACCACCACATAGCCGGGCAGATGGCGCATGGGGTTCCGAAGACGCCGATCGTCGTAGGTCCTTGGTGGATAGAACCATTGACTGATCAATCGCTTGTCAGCGTTCGTCAGGCGTTGAACTTGACGCCGGACGCATGAGAAGTTGAGGCTATAACGGGGAGGCCGGGGTGGCATTCCCCGCTCATAATACTCCAAGTCATCACCGGAAGAACATCCATCATCAAAACGACTTTCGGAAGACATGACGACGAACGATACCTTGGAGCTCGAGGTTTCCGATACGATCAAAAGAGAAGTCTAGAGAGAGAAGGCAATTGTGCAGCGTAAGGAGAAGTGTGAGTGGATCACTTGGGTACTGAGTATTTATAGGCAACACCGCGGGATTGCCCCAACCGAAGCAGGACACGTGGCGCCTGGATACCGGTACCTACCACGGTATTTAAAGCGTCTCGATTTTGTCGCCGCATAACCCACACAAGGACATCCGGGTCCGTGCCACGAACGTCCCTTGAGGAGGGCTCACCGGCTCGGAGGAATTTGAAGACATTCAACCTCCCTTGCTTCCTTAATTCCCCGGCCGACCCTAGCATCGGCGGCTGGCGAGGGCACACGAATCAACTGGCGACGTCCCTCTTGCAGCACACCAGTTTTTTATGTCACGCAATATGAACGAACGTCGTCACCAAGCGCTGTTTCAGGGAAATACGCCCATAAGTCCATACTTGAATCGTGTGCTGGCAAGGCAATTACCGACGAACGTCTTCCCACTGTCCAGAGACCGCGTAGGCGGTAAAGATGTGTCGAGGCGCCGGAGGGATTCCTCATACTACAAACGATGGGCACAAAAGAATGAAGTGAAAATCACGTCCATTGATGGTGCACAAAGGATGAACGCCGCCTCTCCACACTTCGTGCCAGATGAGCACGCAAAACAGACGAACGTCCCGCGCATGGTTTGAATGTTCATATCACGCGACGACGGGCGGACATCGTTATCAAGTGCTGGTGCTGAGAAATACGTTCCTATGTCTACACTTCGAGCATGCACCATGAACCACCGACGAACGTCGCTCCATTGGCGGAACGCGTTGAATACGTACGGAGGATTGACTTCGGGACGCTTTTGCCTGGAAGCAAGTAGAGGACGGATACGAACGTCCTCTCGGACTCTGACCTTGCTACAAGGCATGTCGGACCGCCGAAGGGGTTTCCATACATCGAAGGACAGAAGGAAGGAGAATAACAAGTAGAAATCATGAACATGGAATAATCATGGGCAAAAAGATGTATATTCCTCGGCTCTAACGGCCGGACATTACAAAGGTTGGAATGGAAAAATACAAAGTACATTATACAAAGAAGGGGGATTCAGGCCGGCTGCCTCCCGGAATCTGCTCTTCCTCCTCGGCCTCGGGCTCAGGGGTCGGGGGCTCCGGAATCTCTCCTCTGGCCTTGGCTTCCTCCCGCCGTTGGTCCCTCCCCAACTTCCCCAAGGCTTGGAGCAGCAGATCATCATCCGTATTGGCAGCGAGCTCGAAGTCGGCCCCCTGCAGCCTTGAGAAGATGGGAAGGGTGGCCTTGACCCCCTCATTGTAACCGGCGGCGAAGGAGCTGTCGCCGACCTCGTAGAGGAACTTGTGAGACAAGGGGGAGCTCTCCAGAATCCGGACCCCGCTCGCCAGACGCTGCCGGGGTGGGATCTTCTCCAGCGCCGCAGAGAAAACGTCACCGAAGGCTCCGGCGCAGTAATCCTTGGCGGAATCCATGAACTCCCCGGTGTTCCGATAGCCGGAGGTGTCGACCAGCCACTCCGGACTGGCACCCTTTGCAGTAGGGTGCACCGGGACAAGCTTAAAGCCAGCTTTCTCAAGGCTGGCCAGCTGCTGGCGGGACTCTGCCCGCAGGGCGGCGATCTCCTTCTCCTTGGCGGCCGCCTCCGCCTCTGCTCGACGAGCGGCCTCCCGGGCCGCAGCGATGGCCGCGTCAGCTTTGGCCTTGGCCTCCTTCAGGTCGGCCTCCCGGGCAGCTTCAGCCTGAAGGACTAGAAGCCCAGACTGGATGACAGAAGAAGAAAAAATAAGGATCAGAGGATGAACATCAAGGAAAATAAGAGATATACTCAGAGCTAGCAAGGAATTACCTGAAGAGCGACTGCCAGGGCAGCGCTTGTCGCCTCAGAGGACGAACGGCTGGGCAGCTCTAGACCAGCCTTGAGGGCCATCTCCCTCCAGAGCTCTTCCGCCGGGCGGCTCAATGGCAAGGAGCCGGCGTCTTCAAGCAGGGGCCCGGTGGAGCCTGCTTCGCGGCCCCTCTTCTGTCTCTTCTCCGGGGCTTTCTCCGGACCCTTCTGAGGGGCCGTCTTCGTGGGGACGACCGGCAGGGGAAGGGCGGCTTCGAGAGCAGGGGCCCCGGAACCCTGAGCCAGCACAGTGGCAATCAGATGCTGCTCACCCTCGGCAGTTCGCCGGGCAGCGTCAGAAGCCGAGGAGTTGGACGCCGAGGCGGGGGCATTCTTGGCCTTCTCCATCGCAGCTTTAGCGGCGGCCGCTTTGGCCTTCCTGGTCTTCAGGCACTCGGCGTGATTCATTTGATCCCTGTCTGGCGGAGGACCTGCAAAAAATAACAAAGGATTAGAAGACGAGCGGGGAATAGAATAAGACACTCACCTCGAAGGACAGGACCGCCCGGTGCCCCGAGACGAGCGTCGAAGGGTAGAAAAAGTCCAGGGACACGGGCGGTACCTATGCCTGCCCCAGAGAGTGCCTCGAAGGTCAGGAATCCGGCTATAGGACGGACGCCACCCTCCAACACCTTCTCCGCATCCAGAAGCAGATCGTCGGACGGCTCCGATGACTCGATCTTTGGGGGGTACCCATTCCACCGGAGAGGGAGAGGAGGCCCGTCGTATCGAAGGAAGAAAAAACGGTTCTTCCAGTCGTGGATGGACGAAGGGTAGTTCTTGAACAGCCGCCTCCCAGGACGTGCGGCCACGCTCAGATACCCGTCGGCGTTCTGAGGAGTGACGCGGTAGAAATAATGGAAGAGCTCCAGAGTGGCATCGACCCCCGCAAGTTGGCAGCGCACCAAGAAGGCCGATATGAATCTGTAAGAATTTGGCATGAATTGCGCCGGGGCCACCTGGAAGCAGTGGAAGAACTCCACATAGAACGCATGAAGTGGAAACCTCAGCCCGGCTTCAACGGAGTCCAGGTGAAGCATGATCATCCCCGGACGTCTCCTCATCACATGCTCAGCACCTCTCACACTCCAGACGAACGGCGGGGGGAGGAAGGTACGGATTTTATTGAGGGCCACGCGGGAAAGGACTTGGTCATGGTCAAGTGCACTCCTGATCGGGCAGATGTGGCGCTCCCTATCCGTGGGGATGCCCAGATCATACACCTCCACATCAGAACCAGATTCGGCTTCCTCTCCGGAATCATAATCAGCAGGACGCTCATTCAGGGGGACTGCGTCAATAACATCTACTGCCCCGTCAGCGCCCCCGCCCTCGGCGTCGCTCCCGCTATCTTGGGACACGTCATCCGGCTCGCCATCAGCCCGGATGGTCCCCACAGTCGTGGCCGAACCCGAGGTTCCGGAAACACTAGTTTTTCCCGGGGAGCGTGCATTCGCATTGTCAGAAGAGGAGCTCGAGGAGGAACCCGACGAACTGGAATCGGAACTTGAGGAAATCTCCATCGAAGTCATTTCGGCTAGAAATCAGAATAAAGAAAAGAAGCAGAGGGGGGAAATTACCTTACAAAGGTATGGTTGGCCGAATTTGGGAAACTTGAAGAGCTGCGGAAAATCGAGAGCAAGAAAGCAGAAATTGGGAACCCTAATTCAGAGGGAAAACCTAGCATTTATAGGAGAAGCACCGATGAAGAAACCAACGAGGGGCTGACACGTGGCAGGGAGCGTATTCCGGCCCACGCGCTGTGCGTGGGATGGGAACGTAATGATGACACTTCCTCGGGAAAACGCGCCGCCGCAACATCAGCCGTCACCTCGTTTCCTGAACCGTCAAACAGCTGTCAAGCATCATGACCACGAACGTACACTTCCACCAGGTGCAATAAACACAAGTACCAAGATACGGACGTCTACTTCGGGGAGGTTCATACTTCCTTATGTCCTGCGCATGCTCAGAACATCAGAAGTGGGGGACTTGTGTTGGGTTAAGGGCCCAAGCCGAGGTCCGGCCCACTAACCCATTTCGCCAGACGAACGTCCAGTTAGATCACTAGGCCAGCACACAGGCCCATGTTCCTTGAGGATGGACGAACGTCTGGTGTTGGGGGACTCAGGCCCAGCAGCTCATCCCGACGAACGTCTGTGCAGGGATAAGGAGCAGAACCACGGGCCACCAGGGACGGCGACGAACGTCCCCATAGCAAGCCTGTAGTCATCGGAGAAAACCCAGTCCACATGGTGAGTATCTGTCAAGGCCAGGAGACGAACAGCCGATATCTCCCAAGGGTCCCTTGGAGCAATCCAACTCACTTCCCGATGGACGAACGTCCCCACTGATCCAGCGGGAAACCTAGATTCTGGCGGGAAGTGCATTTAATGCTAAAGATTTGGTAGTTGGGACACCAGCGGTCCACAGGCTGCCACGTCACTACAGCCACCTGCCCATTGGCGGGTATAAATAGAAGCATTTATTCCATTGTAAAGGGTTGGCAACTTTCTATTCTTAGCATACTAGCTTGAGCATTCTTATTCGCAGCATCTCTAACTGCCTGTAAGACGAACGGCCGACGTGCCTTGTTTAGCAAGTAGATTGTACTTAGGGGAGTTATTACGGAGTTAATAATACCTATTTACATTGCCTGCTATTATTATTGTTTCCTGATTCATCTCATAGTTGTTGGGCTAGACATCCATACATTTCACTCCACTCGAAACCTTTGGGCTTACGTGTTGGGTCCACGGGTTGAAGGAATAAACCTCAACAGTATTAATGTCATTTTTTGAATTAAAATAGCCGCATAGCCCTACAACACCGAAAAAATTCGCCCCACTACACTATGGAAAAAAAATTCGCGCCGCTACATTAATGAAAAATTTTTCGCCATCTACACTAACGAAAAATTTCGCCCCCCTTGAGTCAATTTCCTGGATCCGTCCCTGGCCCCCGATCTTTTTTATCTTCTTCTTTCTCTACTCCTTGCATGTTAATGGATTCAAAAGATGTAGTACTGAATATACTTTCATATTAGCTCTAGGGTTTGACTAAGAGCATTAGTGATGGACCCTTCTCTGTTGTGGCAAGCTCTAACAGAGCGCTAAAAGATTAGAGGTGTTCTTTGAATTTAAAAAAGGTTTAAATATGTTTTTAGTCTCTGCAGATATAGTACAATATGTTTTACATCCGTTTTTTTCGTCCATGCAATTTATGTTGGTTTCTCTTTTAGTCTATCATCAATTATAACAATCTCTGTCTAACATCAAAATAACACCGACTAATAGATTTACTCTAATTTTTTGTCATGTTATTCAAAAAGTATTTAAAATGTGAATACTTAGTTTTGCATTGTTTTAACCCTCATATTAGTCTCAAATATATTATAAAATGACAAATTTAAATACTTCTAGTAGATTTATGCAATTGACGGGTAATTTTTTGTAAGTAGAGTAGTTTCAGAATTATAGATGGACTAAAAAAAATAGCGTTTATTACAGGGATGGAAACAAAAAAAATAGGGACCTAAAATAAAATATTAAGCCTAAAATAAAATATATTTAAGCCTTAAAAAATATCCCTCTTCCCGCAAAATTCTTCTCGGTTTAACTTTGATCGTAGTTTAAGAAAGTGACAACAAAGTGAAAATGCATAATTTTGGTTGAGTAACAAAAAGGTAAATGAAGGTTAGTCATAGGGGTGGGATCGGTCCGGTCTGGGTCGGGTTTTTGCTAAACCCGGAAATTACCCGGAAGGTCTCGGGTTATGAAAATTAGGGACCGGAACAAAACCCATTATATTTGGTCCGAGTCGGGTTTTTGGTAGCCCGGGTTCGGTCCGGGGTCGGGTTGGACCAGTTAAAGCCCGGCCATGAAATATGTCATTGTTCTTTTATATTTTAACACTTATTTTCAAATAAAATCAATCAAAAATACAAACCGCAAATAATAACACAAATATTAGTCTCCAAAATCACCAACAATTCAAATTTAAAGAAGATAATTATCTTAATATTTTATGTAAGATGTATATATAAAAATAATATAGGTTTCTTAAAAATATTACGAAATAAATTTTATAAATCAAAAAGTTACTAGAGTTGCTATAAATATATTCTCATGGTCATCATTACGCTAAACAAATTCAACATATTTGTAGTCACTAAAAGTTACTAAATCTTTTTTTTATCCACCGTGATTATAATCATATATTAGGAAATATTTTATTATATTCATATACTATATGAATTTTATATTAAAACTAATTGTTTCGGGTTTTTTCGGTCCGGGCCGGGTTATAGATTTTAAGGCCTGTTAATGAGCCCGGAATTTTCGGTTCGGTCCGTTTTTTTTTAATTCGGGCCGGTTAAAAAGAAAAAACCCGGACCGGGATCATAATTCGGGTCGGTCAAGGGTCGATTTCTGGATTTCGGTTCGGTTTTTCCCAAAAATTTTCCTAAAATTGAAACTATATGATTTTTTTTGGGACGCCAGTCACGCCACAAAAAGATGAATGAGAAGAATGTTATGAGCGGAAATGGATACAATAATAATCACATAAATATTAAAGTGACATTTTTTAGAAATTCATGGTGACGCCATATATATGAAAGCTTACACATCAGACCGAAATTTTCAATGTATTGTTAAGGGCCCCAATGAGAGTAAGTGTTAGGCCCACTTCACATAACATGCCAAGTCCAAAGAGTCATCAGACTTCCCATCATGTACCCCCACTAAGAGCATCTCCAATGCTATAATGTCCACGGTGCACATGTGGCATGATGATAGCCACATAATTATTAGCAAATAAATTATTTCTCTCCTTATTTGAATGATTTTATACAATTTTGGTAAGTTTTTCCCTGCAATGTCAATAACAATGTCAACATTAGACGGTCTCCTTGACATTGTGGAGAAAAACTTACCAAAACTGTATAAAATCATTCAAATAAGGAGAGAAATAATTTATTTACTAATATTTATGTGGTCATATCTCATGCCACGTGTGCACCGTGCACATTGTACCATTGAAGATGCTCTAAATAAAGCATTCCCATGGTACCTGTTCCCTTCCCTTCTCCACCTCTCACCCTTTTCAGCTTAGCACCTCCCAACTTGTTGCGTATGTAAAGAATTAAATATCACTTTCGCACTGCTTAAATTTGTTATTGGCAGCCCAGATTTCAGAATCAGATTCAATCCAAAGACAGATAGATAAGATGATGCTTCCATTTCTAAAGATCAAGATTGCCATTTTACCACCACAACAAATAATAAGTTATAAGTTGTGAGTTCTAAATCAAGTTTCTCTGTAGTTAGCCCTAATTAGTAATTAGAGGAAGTTAGTTTTCTTGGTAAAATGAAACAGTGTAAATAATAACAATCACTTTCTGTGTTGCGCAATAATTCATGAAAAAAAGATTTGTTTTTTTAACTGTGAAATCCAAAATTTGAAGCTCTCAGACCAACAGAACTTTCAACCTTGTCAAAGAGAGATGGTTAGGGAAGGCACTTAAGGGATAGGTGGAATTGTTTCTTTTTCTTCATGGATATATATCTCTTTTAAATAAAATATATAGAAAAAAGTAAAATAAAAATGACTTGTGGCTGCAACTTGCCCCAGCATTTCTCTTCTTGGTAACCCCACTATGTTAACCAACCACCCCAACTCTCTCCTCCAGGTTTGTGCTAGGAATAATTTTAAATAATCGAAATTCACACAATAATTGGCAGAATAAAATTAAGCTTTTATATATATAATTGAAAAATAAAAAAATTATAATATTATTTTAATATTCACAAATATCTGAGGGTTATTCGTATTTAAAGCAGCAAATTCATATATTATTTTAATATTCACAAATATCTGAGGGTTATTCGTATTTAAAGCAGCAAATTCATATATTTTGATTATTATTTTACATAAACTACAACAGTAGTGTGAATAATATTTGGGTTGTAAAATTTTCCAATGTTATCTTTATAGCTTATTTATTTATGGCCTGTAGTTATTGAAGTAATGCTGAAAGCAACCAACACTCAGGGGTTTGGAGAGGATAAGATTCACTCATTTCCTTCATGAGAGAGAGTATACAATTTGTGGTCAAGAAAAGCACAATACTGGGTATGGTGGGTGCTCTGTAGGTGGTGGGAAGGAAGGAGTGTTTCTGGACACAGGGTTCCTAGAATATTGGAGAGATGACAAGTGTAGTATGGTTTAGGAGGGATCTGAGAGTGGAAGACAACCCTGCTTTGGCTGCTGGGGTTAGGGCAGGGGCAGTTGTGGCAGTCTTCATATGGGCTCCTGAAGAAGAAGGGCACTATTTTCCTGGAAGGGTATCAAGATGGTGGCTTAAGCAAAGCCTGGCTGATCTTGACTATTCTCTGAGGAGCCTTGGGACTACCCTTATCACTAAGAGATCCGCAGATAGTGCTTCTTCTCTCCTTGAAGTTATCAAATCCACTGGTGCCACTCAACTATTCTTCAACCACTTATATGGTTAGTTGCTGCTGTGAAACATCTTTTTTTAAACCTAACCCTTTTAAGCTTAAGTTATCAAACCTATTGTTACTTAAAAGTCTGGTCTAGCTCAACCCTAACTGAGCTCTCAAGAAAAGGGGCAACCTTTGTTTAAATACTTAGTTGTTAACACTTACACAACTTTCCAATTAACTTTGCCATTCATATGCTCAAGTTTTTGGTAAGGTGTACATATTATTCATGATATTATCTTGTTCAATAAAGATTCTATGATTAATTGGAGTTTAAATATTTTCTTTTAGTTGTTATTTAATTAATAATTAATCTCTGAGTAAAAGATGGGGTTATCAGTAGTTTCTAGCTACAGATTTGTTGTATGTCAAAGTTTTCTGTTATCTTATTTATCTTAAGAACACACACACAAAATATAGTATCATATGTTTTGTAAAGGGATATGTAAGTTGCTGTTTAACACATTTTTCTGGTTAAGAGTATCAAATTAATATACTCTGTATTAAAGAGAGAGATATGAGTAGACTGGATTAATATCTTTTAGAGTTGTCTGACACACTTGCATTATTACCCGTTTGGGCGATGTCAGACCAATTATAAATTTAAGAATTTATCAATTTTTATTAATGAGAAAATAATCAAGCTAATTCTGTTTGCTTTCTTTATTGTAGATCCTTTGTCACTTGTTAGGGATCACCGCACGAAGGAGATTTTAACTAGCCAAGGGATAACCGTGCGCTCCTTCAATGCCGACTTGCTTTATGAACCATGGGAAGTTCTTGATAGTGAAGGACAGCCTTTCACAACCTTCACAGGTTTTTGGGACAGATGCCTGAGCATGCCTTATGATCCAGAGGCTCCACTTCTTCCTCCTAAAAGGATCATTTCTGGTTTGTTTTCTTCATCTTTCTGTATTCATCTATGGCTCTTTTAGATGTTGAGATCTCTTATATCAATTGGTCATTTGCTATTATATCCAGGGAAACCTGTAGGTGTGAAAGGTAAAGCAAAACAAAGTGTAAGGGTATGTTTGGATCCCCAATATGCTAGGGAAAGAAAAATCTGCTAGAAGTATTTTATTGTGTTTTCACCTCATAAAAAATGAATTACTCTGTATGATTAATGTTTTTAAACTCTTTATGCGTTTAGTTTTTTAGTCTTTACATAGCAGGAAAAAAATTAGAAAATGAGTTTGGACAATCCTCAAATGTAAATTCCTGTGTTTTGACCAATACTCCCCCCAGCCTCCCCATGCCCTTCTACTCTTCACAATTTCTCTTACACTTTCATATTTTTTACCTTCCAAAGAGTTTTCCATGTTCCAAACAGACCCTAAGTAAGAATGGAATCTAGAGCTTTCATTGGAGTGAATTGCATTGGAAAGTTATAAAAGTTTCTGCCTACCCTGCTCCGCCCAGCCTAGGCTCTTGACTCTCTTTGTTCTCGTATGTTTTTCTTGTGTATGCCCTACATAATTCCACTTAGGCCCTGTGCAATCCTAATTAACCCTGACCAGATGTTAGACGCCAGTTTGCTGCCTAGCAGACTTCTAGTACTTCTTTGTTCTAACGATATTTATTGCAAATTATAAACATATTACCAAACTTTCTTTTGTCTTCATGAAAGCAGCCACCTGTTTTTAGATTTTCAAAATAATCTTACTGGAAATACGAACAAAACATAGGTCACATGCACAAATCGGAGTGTCATAGTTTTGTGCTAAAATTAGGGGTGATTCGGTCCTGAAAGAGAATAAAAGTAGTTGATAATTTCTCTTAAGAATAAAAGGATCATATTTTCAAGGAAAATCAGTGGTAACATAATTTGAAGAAATGCGTTATGTTCTAGTCCTATTTATGGAATTTGAGTGATTTCTGTATGTTGTAGGTGATATCTCCAAATGCCCTTCAGTAAACTTGGTGTTTGAAGATGAATCAGAGAGAGGAAGCAACGCTCTTCTAGCCCGAGGATGGTCGCCTGGGTGGAGGAATGCAGATAAGGCATTAACAACTTTCATAAACGGGCCGCTGATCGAGTACTCAAAGAACCGCTGGAAAGCTGACCGCGCAACAACCTCTTTGCTCTCCCCACACTTACACTTTGGGGAAGTCAGTGTCCGAAAAGTATTCCATCTTGTTCGCATGAAGCAAGTTCTTTGGGCCAATGAAGGGAACAAAGCGGGTGAAGAGAGTGTTAATCTATTCCTTGAGTCTATCGGGTTGAGGGAGTATTCAAGATATATAAGCTTTAACCATCCATACAGCCACGAAAGGCCGCTTCTCGGTCATCTAAGGCACTTCCCTTGGGTAATTAATGAGGGACACTTTAAGGCGTGGAGGCAAGGGAGGACGGGTTACCCGTTGGTGGATGCGGGTATGAGGGAACTGTGGGCCACCGGATGGTTACATGATCGGATACGGGTTGTGGTTTCGAGTTTCTTTGTGAAGGTTTTGCAGCTTCCATGGAGATGGGGAATGAAGTACTTTTGGGATACTCTGTTAGATGCAGACCTTGAGAGTGATGCTCTTGGTTGGCAATATATCTCTGGTACCCTTCCCGATGGGCGCGAATTGGATCGCATTGATAATCCACAGGTATGGTTTGTTTGGCACGCTATTAGCTTTGTCTAAAGGAAATATTTTTTAAAAAGACTCATTTGGTTAGAGAACATATTTGATTAGATCGAGTTAATTTGAGAGTAGCTTTTCAACTAAGCTGATTCTTGTTTATGGTCATTTTAACTGTGTTTTTTTTATTTAGTTTTTTTTTTAATTCAAGGCCTTTTATGCCATTGTGTATTTGCAAGCTAGTTTTGAACTTTTGATCTGACTTTTACCACGCTATATATGATCAGCTAGTTTGCTTTAGCTTTACATCTGTAAGTTGTAAACCATGGAATGTAAGTTAATGTGTGTTTAGTAGGGCTTTTTGGAGCTTATAGCTTATTATTGCTACTATTTTATTGTTATTGTTATTATTTTAAGATCCAAATAAGTTATCAGCTCTTTGTAATTAATAGAGATAAGTCTTGAAAGTTATTTTCAAAAGCCCTCTCCTATACCTTTTCAGCGGTGAGTTCATAACTTTTTTTCCGCACTCATAATCTTGTTGTTTTACTAAACTAACACCTTTTATCCATCTATAGTCCCTCTAAACATTAATATCCATTTATGTCTTTGTCATAAATTTGCTACTCAACAACTAATTTTACAAACGCTTCTATCATCAATTAAAAAAAAATCGTATTTCAGCTCCAAGCTACTAACTTTTCATCATTTCGCTATTTTGTAGCTTTTCGGCTAGTATTTTAGCTCTGCATTCCAAGAGTCTAATTAGCTTAGCAGTTGGTTTACCCAACATAAGCATTATGTCATTCTCATTTTGTATCTACTTTTTCACTTTTAGTGCAAGACTTTGGTTTTGGCCACTTTTTTGGTACTTTTCGGCTACTTGCGCGGTGAAAATCAAAAGTGAAATTATATGGAAAGTTGGAAACTGGTTTGATAAGTAGTCAAAAGTTACAACAAACATATAATTGTGCACCAAATGTGGTAAAATGAAATTTGGAGGGTAAAAGCTGGAATCAACTTTTAATTGTGGAAGTGGAACCAAATTTGAAAATTTCTAGTTTTTGTTTATATCTTTGTCTTATGCAGCTGGAGAAGTGAGTAACAAGAAATTGTTATTGTATGTCATTGAATTAAGGATGCATTTCTGCAACACTTGTTTTCTTTCCCTTTCTTCCATGAGGAATACAATTCCACACAGTTAGTATATACATATACACACACAGATGCATATCTGAATGTACATAAATGATCCTTTGGCAGTTTGAAGGTTACAAGTTTGATCCGAATGGGGAGTATGTACGCCGCTGGCTACCGGAACTTGCTCGGCTTCCCACCGAATGGATACACCACCCGTGGGACGCCCCGGAGTCCGTTCTCCAAGCGGCAGGGATTGAACTCGGATCAAACTACCCTCTCCCGCTCGTCTGGATCGATGCAGCCAAAGTCAGGCTACAAGAGGCCCTCGTCACGATGTGGCAGCACGAAGCCGCCTCTAGGGCTGCTGTCGAGAACGGTGTCGAGGAAGGACACGGCGACTCCAGTGAATATATCCCGGTTGCCTTCCCTGAGGACATCATGCAAACAACCGATCCGAATGTTGAGTCCCCGCTCAGAAACAACAACCAAACAGCGACTACTATAACCCGCGGCGGCGGTTATCAGGACCAGATGGTTCCCAGCATTACTTCTTCTCTTTCTCGGGGTAGTTCGATGTATCTCAGAAATCCAAGCGAGGATAACCGAGCGGAAGTTCCAAGAAATGATAATCTGACTGAGGAAGAGCCAAGGAGGAGGAACAGGGCGGGACAAACAGGTCCCCCTCAACCACCAATTAATGTCCGTCCTAGGAGGAATTCTGAAGACTCCTCCACGGCTGATTCTTCCAACAGCAGCCGTGGCGTGGTTCCTGTGTGGTCCCCGCCGAGTAGTAATTACTCGGCAAGCGATGATAATGTCACCACCAGTTCATCTTATTTGCAAAGGCCACACCGTCAGCTAATGAACTGGAATCGGCAACGGCTGTCTCAGACAGGGTAATTAACTAATCATCATCAAATTTATGTGAAGGAGATTAAATCTAAAACCAGAGGAGTAAATTATCATGATATCATGAAATCCCATCAAATGCTGATATGTAATAATTTCATTTCTTTGAACGCATGCAGCAGCTTTATTCTATACAATGCATAGAAACTAATATTGGTTAATAATTGTCTGTACCCCCCCCCCCCCCCAGAAATAGTAACTAGCTGGTTGGATTCAATCTCTTAGTCCTGTTTTACTCGGTTGAGTGTCTTTGATCCAAATATGAACTCTACCACTTGCAGTTTCCCCTGAATCTTTGGTAATCTCTAGTTTCTTCAACTTGATGATAGCAGGTGATGGTTTACAAGATATGATGATCAAGATTTGAGGTTAACAAGATCTAGGTACTGTAATTCTAATTAAGCCGATCAACGATCAATGCATGTATGTGTGTGTATTAGCTGATGATTAGAATGGATGAGGCGATTCTTTTTCTTTTACTCGTTCCTTTTGTTGTATCATATGGTAGAAATGATGTTCTACAACTGAACAGTATACACATTTTGTAAGGGCGAATAATCTTCACATTGGCTGCAAGTCATGTCATAAACCCTGCTTTGTGCCTCTCTTCATTCTTGTCTTGATTGCTGCATATGTTTTGTTTAACCCATGTACACAAATACTTCTATTGCGTGATTTGTATGTAATTAGTCAAAAATTGTATGGACACAGAGCATTGTTGCTTTTTGAACCGTTGGATTGCATCCATCAAGAGTATCTCACAGGAAAGTTTAACTGAATTACTTTTACAGTTTTCTAAAATTGGTCCAAAAGTATTACTCCTATTCAAGACTGATAGTGTGCAGCGCTGAACAGTGAACACTAGGCTTGAAGGGTGTTTTTAATTGGACTATTTCAATCTCAAATTAGACCAGACCAAACTTAAACAGACCAAAAAAGATTTTAACAGATCAAATCATATTTTTTGCAACTATAAAATACATACACCAAGGAATTACCAGACCATGCTTCTTCGGGACTTTGGCTATAAAATACGCAAAGATCAAACATTCGTCAAGTTAGCTCAAACTAGACTATACTTAAATAGTCTAGACTCATTAAACCAAATTAGACCACAAAATTTCAGTTTAAGTCAAAACAAAAATGACTGTCTTCACTGAGTTTGAGGCCCTAATTACAAGAGCTCCCTAAAATTATAGGGACAAAACATTTACACCAATCTCACTAGCTAATGATTATTAATGATTCAACCACTTCAATGTTTTTTTCTACTCCATGGGGTCTGGGAGAGGGGGGTTGGGGGACCTGAAGTAATCAGGGCTGAAACTCATTCCATTGAGTTTCGAACCCTTATGTGTCTAGCGGATTTCGAACTCGAGATCTCTCACTAGGCACAGTAACCTCACAACCAGCTGAGCTGGAATGCTTGGTTACCACTTCAATGTTATCATGTAGCTTTTATATATTTTGAAATTAACTTTCTCTCTTTTTTTTCAATAGATAAAATCCATTTGATTATAATCTAAATATGATGCCATTTCTAAACAATGAGCACATGATCCAAAATCAATAATACCTCGTACAATACTATCTACTTTTAAGTTTCAAGAAAGATTTGATTATTTCAGGAGAAAATAAATATGTTTTTTGAATAAAGAACAATTAGTAATCAATTATAATAACTATAGTACATTGTAAACACCCTAAAAGAAACAAATCACTTTCTTATTAACTAATGAAAAAAATATAACAAATTCTCTAATAAATGTAGCATTGTGTAGGAATAACTGAATAATATAAAAATATTGAATATAATCATAAAGGCTTTTTCATTTATCCCGTGATCATACATTAGAAACCTTTATGTGATAAATGGTGAGTAATACACTTCATTATACACATAGAAGTGTATAAATGGTGAGTAACAGTTCCTCCACCCCCATTTAAAAAAAAATTCTTCCACCCTTTACAACAAACGTAGAGAATCTGAGAAATAATACACTTATTTGTCCTCTAAAATAGTTTGTCCTCTAAAGGCATCTCTTATACACTTTATTATACACTGATAAATATTACTCCCTCTGGATCTTTTTAAACTTCACAGTTTGACTTCACACAGATTAAGAAAATAAAATTGACTTTACTGTAGAGTACACTGTTGAGACACTGTTTAGCACTGTTTGGCACTGTTGAAACACTGTTTGACACTGTTGAAACACTGTTTGACACTGTTTAGCACTGTTTAACACTTTTTTGAAGTTGATTTCTTTGCCAAATAAGGAAATAAGGAAATGTGAAGTTTATTTTGGACCGTCCCAAAAAGGAAAGTGTGAAGTTTATTTAGAACCGGAGGGAGTAGTATTTATTTCATTCTTTAAAATGTTGCCAAATTTATTTGGTACTTGGATTAAAAATAAAAAACGTGTTATTTATGTTTGAGAATTTTACCTGAAATAGGACTAAAAAGGTTTTAAAATTCCAAAATAGTATTGCCATGTTTTTATCCCAAAATATGACTAATTACTGTCATGTTTTGGCAGTATCAGACTTCAAACATGGAAGTATTTTCTAAACTTGGCAGTAATTAATCCTATTTTGGGAATAAAAAACATGACAATCCTATTTTGGAATTTTAAAACTGATTTAGTCTTATTTTGGGAACATTCCCTTTATGTTTATGTAGAGCAAATAGATTAGTACTACGTATAATACTAATTGTAAATCAGTTACTTCAAAGGGAAAATTCAAATTTTATGGAAGCTAAATAAAAAGTTAAAAAAAGTGGAATGGTTCAAAGGTAGAAATAACATGAGTTTTCTTCAAAAGCAATACAAAAATAAAATTCATTGACTAAAGTTACTATTAGTTTTGTGTCATGGTCACTTAAGTGCAAAAAATGAATATAAATTGCTATGATTAAATATAATGCACTTAAAATGTCACATTTTTTGAACACTTTTTAATTTCGTTATAATTTTGTAATGATTTCATTATTTAAATAAGAAGAAAAATATTACTTCAACCAGATGGGCTTTGATCAACCATGGGTAAAGGGCTGTTGACAAAAGAACTCGGCCCACAGCGGCCTAAGAAGCCCTAACAGACACCTCTATAAATATGATATTTAGGGTTCCCGTCCTCCAATTAGTCATTCAAAAACTATGCACCTGTTGTGACTTGTGGTCTACACTGTAGAAATTCACTACGCTTAGATTTTAATTAATTTTTTTCCCTGTTTATGTCGAATATTTGCCTCTTCTTTCAGCTTCAAGCGTAGAGATCTGAGGATCGATTTCTTGACGGCTTTGTTCTGGGGGCATAAACTAATTTGAGCAATTTGAGGACCTTCTGTAAAATCAGAACTTACACTTTATGTATTCTGGTTTTCCTTGCTTGCTCACAAATCATATTCCCTGTTTCAGTTTTTATTCTTGAGAACAAATTAAAAATTAATGCTTGATTGCGTTTTGTAAGAAAATATTAATAGAAATCAAATAAAAGCCTAAATGGATAACATTAAATTGACCAATTCCTTAACGGTTGACTTTTTGTAAATCCTTTTCAACTGAGACTTGATATAATCTTGTGCTGGCTTTCATAAATAGTTTTATGCTTTTCAAATTTCTTTCACGGTTTTGTTGTCGACACAAATTTCATACGTGTGCTCAGCTTAATTTTTTAACAGAATCTTCTTTCGATTTTGTTTAAAATACAATTACATTGGCGGTCTTTTCTCTCTCTTTCATCTTGTAGGTTTTAGTTGCCTTTAAGAGGTAAAGGAAATAATTGATCATGCGGTGCATCTGATTTGCCCTTGATGACAAGACACTGGATGACATTAGGAAAGTGATTTGTTTGGGGAAGAATTGATAAAGTAAAAAACAAAGCAAAAATTATTTAAAAAACAAGTTTTGCCAAATTTAGTGTTAGTAAAAAGTAAAACAAAAATTATAAAAAAACAAGTTTTACCAAATTTAGTATTACCTCCGCTTATCTAATATTTGGATTAGAGTTTATATAAATGTTATTAAATACTGTATAGGACAATAATAAAAGGATATTTAAAATGGAAAATGGACAATTATAGGGTGATGGAGAGAAAGTATGAGATAATTTTAATGAAATGGATTCAAAAGCAAAGATGAAACAATTTAATGAAATGAGGAATAAATTGTTCTAAATTAATAAAACCTATGAGACCATTCAAAAAAGACATTTGATACATTGTAGCCAAACTTCAAATATTGTAAATAGGACATTTGATAATGCAAACTTTCAAACATTGCACCAAGAAATTAATAAGTTGTAACTAAACTTTCTCTCAAATAATTGAACACTTGGTCACTTGCAAATCTATGAGCTTGTTTGGTAGCATGAAAATAGGTTGATTTTAGTTGATTTTGCTGAAATTTGTGAAGTTTTTGCTGAAGTTGCTGTATTGTTTTATTCTATTTAAGAAAAAAAATGTTTCTTTTTTTAAGAGAGCTTATATTGATGAAATAGCAATCAGATAGGGTTTGAAATAACAAAAAGATCACATGTAACAATCCGTCCTTGGACCATACCTCTCGTCACACAATCCAAGTGCAAAAGTCTTACAGTATAAAATAATAATAAAAACAAAACGCAATTGTTCTTAACGTGGAAAATTAAATGCAAAAAAAAAAAGTAAACACCAAAGCTAGTCCTCTTGAGCAGGATCACCAAGTGTACCATCGGCGGGTTTAGCAGTCCTGACCCGCCGCCTCTCCATTTTTGGATCATCCAGTGTCCTCACCAGTTGCAACTTCTTTTGACTGGTCTTCCCAAATCCTCCTGCGTTTCGCCTCCTCTGGAACCTCCTCCGTGTCACCCATCTCGTCCTTCTTGGACACGCTCTTTCCTGTTTCTGCTAAGAACTCACGTCTATTGTGTGCCCATATGCCTTCACTCTCTAAATTCATCTTCTGTTGAAACATGGCACCCCCGAGCTTGAAGAATTCCCCACTAACCATTTATTGGTCCCTGTAGGACTGTCTTCCCCCTCCACCGGCCTGGAGCTCAACCCAAACATTTTCTCCAACACAATACCATCCCCATACTTCAAGGGACAGAATTTATCAGAATGCTCAATCACTCCACACAAGAAACAGAAATTAGGTAGTTTTTCATATTTAAAATCTGCTCAATGTCCAATTCATTCTTTTTTCAAACTAGTTCCTTTCTTCAGAGATTTTCTTATATCCATGCACACCCTAGTTCTCGTGTAAGATTTCCATTTTTCCTCAAACTGGTTCTTATCAAAACTAATAAATGTGTCAATATAGTTTTCAATTCTCCTACCAAAACCCAGATTCATAAATTTAAAAGGTACATTGTGGACCTGTACCCAGAAGTCAGTCTCATACAAAATCATCTTTTCACGCATATCATCTGGTTGAACTGCTTTTAAAAGTAACAAAAACTCTCTCAAACAACCAAGGATCATCCTCAAGCACACGATTCATACCCACAATATGATAGAAAGTGAAAAGGTACCTTTTATCTCTTTGATGGAAATCTCTTCCCCGGGCGCCAGATTGAAGCCAAAAGCTCCTTAAATACCAGAAATTTGATCTTCCGGTCCATAATCACAACTCCGACCACAGGAAACTCCATTCTTTCGTCGGCTGCATTAATCTCCCGGCTTCCTCCTCGTCGAAATTGAGTTCGTTGTCTCCCTCACCAATAGCCACATTCTTATAACTATTGACGATATCATCCATCGGAA